AAAATTAGAATTACCTCCGAATTTGCCTAAATATGCATCAGAGTAAACGCCACACCAGATCGCGAATGGGTGACCCTTCTGTCACCACCACCAAAACTGCCGCCCCTTCAGGTTGTCAATCATAGTTGTAACCGAGGTTCATTAAACAGCCATCCACGAATACGAAAATCGCAAGCATAATGGTTTGCTTCAGCAGTTAGGTGGAATAAAACGTTCCACCAAATATTATGCCCTGTAGTTTCTTTGTTATCGCACATATGACCGGAGAGCCATAAAGGTTGCGTCCTATGCCTAATGACGACAGTCAGATGCACATATGTGGCTTCCTGGCCAGTTTTATAACATCAGTTCCACTTCCAGAAAACGGCACTTTAACTGTTGGGACGTTGGATGAGGATCCTTTGTGGGTTCACTTGTTCTAGATTCTGAAACACCTGGAGCCTACCCGCCGCATCGGTACCTTGCTGCAGGAATTCGTTGGAAAACCACCCTGAGGTGAGGCCGGTGGTGTCAGTGGAACTTCTCGCTCCTCAGAGTATGCAAATTTAGATCACGCTGACTTCCTAACTATAAAGCACCATCAATGCCGTTTGTCCAGGCCAAGTTGTCTGCACCAACTGCTGTATACCTGGTGAACAGCTGGAGGTAAGTATACCTAGGTTTGGATTTGAATGTGTGCTGAGGATCACACCAGCATACGTTTCCAGGAAATCCGGTTGATGGGTGCGTCAGTCATCCCACTTGTTCCGAAACATCTCCACCATTACACGTAGGGTTAGCCTCCTACTTCGATTTGCCCATTAGTCGAAAGCACAGTAACAACTTGCGACCCAATCGAACATCATATTTTTTGAATAAATCATATAAGGCGGCCAGCATTGTCCTCTTTCTTTTCTTAAAAATTGTTTCTGCTTACACATTGTACACAAGAGAGGGGACAATGGAACAAAAATGGTNCAAGAACACAAATTGGATTGAATTTCCTGGTACACTACTCATAATTTTGCCGAAAATTCTTCAACAGCCCACGACCGATTTCGCCTTACTTGGGGATCCTCTAAAACCTAATGAGTGGTGTATTACTACCATACATGTACGGCAATATATTGAATACTGAACCAGCCAGCGGTCTGGTGCAGCACATTCAGTTGTCTAGAAGCTTAATAAACGAGATTTCAGGTGGGTTTCAAGTGAGTCCGAAAGCCAAACTGTTACAACTTAATGTGTCTTGCCGACGTCGTGCGATTTTGGTCCAATTAGAACGTATGTTAGACGAAACCTCGGGGAATACGCCCGCCTGACCAGCGCCAAAGGGAGCAAAACCGGTCTTGGACTGCGGAAGACTTTTAGGGAACCTTTTGCGCAGTGTACTACTTCCATATATGTATCGCGATATCTCGAATATTGTACCAACTGAAACATAAGGCGGCCTGGCACAGCACATTCAATTTGTTAGAAATATTATAAACGTGAAATTCAGCTGCGTTACAGGTGGGTCTATAAAAAAAACAATTTTTTGCACAGGCGTGTATTTCGAATCCCCTTCGTCGAGCACATTAGTATGGATGGACATATCCAAACGCCTGCTGCATATTATACAGGCCTAACAAAATTGCCGAAGCCTCCTGAGCACTAAGCATTTTCAACGTAGGGTCACTGGGATTCCTCGCTCCTCACCGTCAACAAGCAAGTGTACACTGCTTTGAAGGGCACGCTTGATTACCATGAAACCCTGTAAGCATGGTTACTAAAACACTAACTTATGGACAGGAAGGACAGTGCTTGGAGCTACACCACAGCACATCGATTATTCCCGTTAGGATTGGTTATCTTGTATGTGCCCGAACCTCCATGCCTCTTCCGCAGGCGTAACGGCTGGACCTGGAAAGGATGTCGGAGCTGAAGGATTGCTGAGTCTGAAAGACCAAAAAAATCGAACGGACGCATTTTTCTTTAAAATGATCGAAGAACAAAGGAACTAAACTTCCGAAAGATGACTTTTTGTGATGCACTGTAGGTCAAAATCCCTATATGTTGGACCGATTATCCCCTCGAGGCGTGGTCCACCGTTGTCCCTCAAGGTCATCCAAGAATGGTCAGCTGCATGTGAAAACTTGAGCAGTCCTGTAGCTACCACCTTAGGCCTAATTTGCTAGTAGGAGATTTTAACGCTCCTATGTTCTACCGGTTGGAGCTTCCGTTCATTGTGTCTGACAGACATGTTGCATCGTCGCTCAACAAATTAACCCTTCCCCTTGAGGAACAGAAACGGGAAATCAACTAGCTACCCATCAGTAGTACGCGAAGACTGCACAAAACACTATGCAAGCCCGTGCTCTGCCTCAGTGACTTAATCATATCTGATCTTAGTCTTAACAGAGGGGAACGTTCGTCAGTTCTTGCAAAAGACGAAACCATTAGCGCGTTGAGGTGGGATGGGTTCCATCCAGGATCCCTGAAAAAAACATCACTCTAACGGGCAAATGTTTTCTACGCGGCATTTCAGCAGTTGCTTGAAGAATCTGGTGACCATCAATCGCCCGGCAGCTAAAGGCCTATTAGTCTCACTAGCGCATCGTGCAAGCTGGCGAAGCACCTTCTGAATCGGACCATCTTAAATCACCTCACCAGTAAATACTGAATACCTCATGACAGCAAGCATTCTTCTCAAACCGTTCTCGCGTGACGAACATGCCCGTATGTATGGACCCACCGAACCAAAGCCAGAGACGAATGTCCCAAATCGAATGCTATATTTTTTGACTTCTCACTTGATCGAGTGCCACACATTCCGCCGCTCCACACGCCCTCAAGGCTTTCATAGTAGGTCGGACACTCCAAGTGGAAATAGATCCGAACTACATTTCTCTGAAACCGGTCTTGTTTGGTATCCCTCTGGGCTCCGTTTTGGGACCACTTCTGTTTCTGGTCTACGTCAACGAGCATTCAGGTGTCCTCAAATTCATGTCTACATTTGCAGACACCAGCCCCTCCCGAATGAATGCTGGCGCTTTGAGACAGGATTCGCTTGGCTGGCGTTTTTCTCTGAATGGTGAAAGATGCGTCCGTACATCATTTGGACAAGGATCAGCGAGCGCCTTTATCACAAAAGTTACCACGAGAACAGATATCAAAAGGACTTAGGTATTTGGCTCCCTTCAAACATAAAGAAATGAAATGAAATCTACGGATGATTCGGCGGGCCTCCCACCATAGTATTTGAACAGACTTTCAGATACGCTATGGGGCCTGCGGAAGACCGCCTGGTGGATGAGCCAACCAAGTTGTCTACTCAGGAGATAAGACAGACATAGCCCGCATTGGATGTGTCCGACGAGCTGCTACGAAACTGTTTGCCAGACTTGAACCCGTTTGAGAAACGCGCCTTGCTGTGCTTGGCCTATTTCCTCTAGGCTCTCATCGCCTCCGATGATACCCATTAGTTAAGTAACCCGTGTTTGATCAACGTATGGCCAACGGATTTTTTACCGTTGACACCGGCTCAACTGACACATTACAGGTACACAATAATAACACGCAACATTTTTTATCATTCCAGGTAGTTGGTATGTAAAATAGCCTTCCGACGGCTGTTCATCCAAATAAGTCATCGCGCTGACAAACTTACTGCCCAGCGCCGAGGAAGTAAGGAGCTGTGTTACGGATTTTCTCGCTTGTGCCTATCAGATGAACGGAGGGGATTCAAAGACAAGAACGAATCCGGCCAGGGAAGCTCGGACGGAAGCCGCAATCCCATGTACCACCCCTTTAATCCGTGATTCACTAGCGCACCGTGCAAGGTGATGGAACCCATTCTGAAGCGAGCTATCCTAGATCACCTTACCTCCAGCAACCTGATATCTCTAGCTCAACACGGATTTCTCCCACACCGCTCTTGCGTGACAAAAATGCTCGTGTTTATAGATATCTTAACCCAAACCGAGGACGAAGGATTCATATCGAATGTCATATTTTTCGACTCCTCAAAAGCATTTGATCGAGTCCCACGTGTCCCGCTGCTCCACAAACTCGAGTGCTACGGAATTAAAGGGGAAATTCTTCTCTGGATCGAGGCGTTCCTATCAGGCAAATCATTCCGAGTGAGGATAGGCTCGACCTACTCTTCTCCAGCGCTGGTCTCCATTGGAGTTGCCCAAAGCTCCGTCTTGGGGCCATTACTGTTTCTGATCTACGTCAACGACCTCCGAGATGTTCTTGTGAGTCCATATCTACTTTTTTACAGGCGAATTGAAGTCCTGGAGTTCCAACGCCAGTGCCCTCCAAATTGATGTAGACGTTGCAAAGCGGTGGTCGTTGGACTGGCACCTTCCTCTGAATGACAAAGAGTGCGTCCATATGTCGTTTGGAGGAGACTACGAATGCCTTTGTTATGCATGGTGAGAAAAGGCCAGAAAACATCATGAGGACAGATGCCAAAAAGGGCATGTGGGTCTCCTCAAACTTGTCCTTCTCACTGCATCATGGGAAATCGGCCCAAAAGGCATTCGGCATTTTACGGATGATCCGACGCACCTTCTCCCGTATTACTCGCATGGACTTCCAAATACTCTATGGGGCCTACGTCAGACCGCTCCTGGAATACGCCAAACAAGTTGTCTACTCATGACGCGCGAAAGACGTCACCCTCATTGAGCGTGTCCAGCGGGCAGCTACGAGCATGGTTGCTGGCCTCAAATCCGTGGACTACGAAACGCGTCTCGCGATGCTTGATCTCCTTCCCCTGGAGCACCGTCGCCTCCGACGGGACCTAATTCTTACTTATGCCCTGTTTGAACAAAGCTTGGCCAACAGCTTTTTCACCGTTGACCCAGCAAACACACGGCGGGGATATAGTAATAAAATTTTAAAGCTCAGAGCACACACATTCATTAGACAAAATTTTTCTCATTTTGGGTAGTATGTGCGTGGGATGACCTTTCTCTGGCGGTCGTCCACGCTCCTCCTAGAACCCAGTTCAAGGCACTACTAGACATTTATTTATGCGAATCCTCGCGCTGGCAGGCATGCTGCCCCGCTCTGAGAACATAAAGAGCAGTGCTACACCCTTTTCACTTGTGTCTTTCGGGTGAACGACAGCTGCTGGAAGACAAGAACAAAACCGACCCGGAAAACTAGGGCAAAAGCCTCGATCCTGTGTATCAATCCGTGAATCGGTGATTCGTTGGCTGATGTGAAGGTCACTGTGCTCTTGCTTGGCTCGTTGCACGTAGTCCGGTCAATCGAGATTGGTATCTTGTAGGGTTTCATTGAGTTTTCCAGCGTCGTCCAATGGATCGGGTACGGCGGGCCTTCTCAACTCAGGAAGACGAGGCCGGAATTTTATCGTCGGTGAGTACAATGGGAATAGTTCAGAAACTTTCGTAGGTGGAGAACGGGTTATCTTTAAGTTGGAGCACTCGCATCAAAGGATTCGCAATATGTTTTGTCCTGGGGATCGTATTCTCCATTCTAGTATGGTTGTATCCGAATAGTAACATTTCTCAGGGTTCCATCTTTTTATGGCTTCCCAAAGGCCTAATCTTGTTCGCGCTCTTTTATACGATTGGGAATATTCTTTCCCTCGGCAGGTATATCTCTAATTTGCTGATAGACACTGTTCAGTACAATTTTCCTCATGGGTCCCATGAACCAGTTGCGGCGGATGTTTCAAGAAACACGGATTTTTGCTGCAGTCATCATGCTGGTTTGTTCATGCCTTTTGTCGACTTATGCTCCCCATAGATCTGTATGGCAATGACGATCTGCGCTGCCGTCTGGGTATGTCACTTTTGATCCTGGATTATTCGCTTCTAGTGGAAAAATAAACTCCTCTGCTTGATCTTTTGTATACTGCAATCAGGGGCTTTAACGTGGTATTCGCTTTCCTACATACCTTTTGCACGGTAAGTCATCCTTAGGTTTGCAGTTTGTTTCTGGAATTGTTTGGAGTATGTTCAGATTCCACCCAGAGACATTAAAAAAAATCAAATCGCTCAGCTGTAGCACCATTTGGTACTTAGCTGCCACGCCAACGGAAGGAGGCACGGGGGCTGGGATACTGCAAGGTTGTCCAAGCGTAGACAGGAGCTGTCGGAACGCTGAGGTCGGGTTTGGACCGCTGATCTTCCAGTCCATAAGCTGGCGTTTTAACAACTGAGCTGTCTCGGCTCTTCCAGATACAGAATGCACCAAATGATAAATAATGTTGACATGTTTTCTGGTGTGCGCTCCGCACCTTAAAAGCTCAAATGCCTATTAGAGGGTAGTGATTGGGCTACCAAAGTAGGTCATGGCATCGAAACTACTATAGATAGTTGGCATGTGCGTAACACTGGATGGCAGCATTGCTGATGAAGGGAATGCTGGAATTACTAAGGCCCGTTCTACCTTCTTGCAACTTAAGCACCTCTGGGGTCGACGCTTTATCAGTGTGTCTGTGGAATGCAGAGTCTGGAATACTGCAGCGTGTCCACTGTCGCTTTACAGCTGTAAAGGTTGACCGTAAAACTGTAAAGCTGTGCGTTGAAAACAAGTTTAGGTTGTTTGTTTGTAACAGTCTATGCATTGGGAGCATTGTGCACATATCATGGGAACATCAAATTAGCAACGCTGAAGGGCTAACAATGGCTTTTGGTGATAGACCAACCAACCAAATGTCTGGTTAGTTCGTATGCATCAGCTACACTGGCTCCATCATGTGCTACGTATGCTAGGTGACTGATTTTTCCGTCACGCCTTGTTTGCTGAGCCAGATCTCGATTAGGAAATGCCACAGTGGACAGCCTGTGGCCTTGAGATAGGGCATGAAAGTCATAAAACAGTTTCTTGTCTGTATCAGCGCATGTTGTTAGCTACGTCTGCGTACCAAATACCCTCTACATCAATGACTGGAGGTACTCACCAACACGGCGATGTCAAGTGGCAGTACTGTATCTGCTGTATTGTTCGTGATCATCAACCAACCGTCTTATTTTTCTCTTGGTTATTTTAAATGTCCTCTACCCCATCTCATCGTCATCATCACAGACAGCATGACATCAGTGTTCACCGATGCTTCACTGTCGTACAACCATGGTTTGTTTGAAAGCCTTAGTGTAAAGAAAAGAGTAAAGGTAGACAGGGAAGGGACTTAGTGCTAGCTTACCACAATCATTACGAGGTGCCTACACCTCCATACATTCACTCAGGCAATCTGGATAGAGAATGACAACAAGAACGCCACTGACATCGGTTGGCAGCCATATCTTGTAGTGTCTCCAACCTGGCACAGTGAGGATCACGCGGTCCCCATCCTGGAAGGCGATTAGCACCGACAGCACCCAAGCGTTTCGTGATATCCTTCATACTCCTCTGCCAAGTCAGGGGTTGGCCACCTCTCTGTTTACGCCACTCTGAGTTGGGCATGGAAAACAGCACTCTTTTCGGGAAACGATGGTTCGGCATGCGTAACACATGTCCCAACCAACGCAGCTTCTGGTGCTGGACACATTCTTCCATGACCATGACATTCACAACTGCCCCATCTACCCGATTGTCATAAATGGTTCAGCTGTAGCACCCTCTCGGTGCCCAACTGCCATGCCACCAAAAGGAAGCACGAGGGCTGGGATACTGCCAGGTTGCCCAAGCCTAGGCAGGGTAAGTCGAGAGGCGGAGGAACCTTCCGGTCAGCAAATTCGCGCTCTAACCATTTGGGCTATCTCGCCCTCCGGTCGTCGCATGCTGTAACAACCTGAACTACCGTACATATGTACACGAACTACGATTGATAAGCTGAAACGTGTAGAATGAATCCTTGTGAGACCTGTCATTGACTGAGTGCAGCTATCACGTTCATTACAGAAGAAAACGTCGAGTCCCTTCCGGTTTGCATCGAGAACCGGGACTCCAGTCCACACAACTTTTGACTTGGCCTGTACCACTTCATCCACAGTTTTGCTTGAAAAGGATTATCCAACCTCCCTTTGTGCCTCTCATTTTTGTATGAATAGGACTATTATTTTGTACTGTGCACAGAAACGGACAATCGAAGGAACAGTGCACTAAATTCTCCATTCAGAGTCTATGACGGCGATGGAATTCATTGGGGAAATACCTTAGACGCTTGAATCTGTTGGTGTAGCGCAACCATTGATCTCTATACGAATTATCCTCTTTCCTGAGCTTTATTAAATCCTGTGTATACAGGTACTAGTTTTTAGTCAAGTACTCGACGTACATGAGAAGGGCACCATAGGCATTTAGATAACCTACATCCCTGTGTAAGTGGCTGCTGCCAAGTGTGCTGTCGTTTTCAAGCTGACAGTCGACAAACAGTCCTCCAGATTAGTGTTCCGATCTTGTATGGTGACTTGTTCCCTAAAAAACGATAGAACGCTTGCACCCACCAGCTACCTTGTGGACATCCTTTTGAACCAAAAAACTTGGTCGACGACTCGAGGAGTCTTCCTCTTTACGTCCATGTACTCCGGCAGTATCCTATTCGGCGTATAGCTGTGAAACCCTTAGTCATAGATATTGTTATACTGTCGCATAGTGTGATTAGCCGGGTCACTTTATTCGCTGGCAGATAGGGAAGAACACGCTACGACTGGCTTAACACTTCATCATCACCACTCTGCTGGCCTCCGCTTCCTTCGGGTGGCATGGCAGCTTGGCACCGGAAGAATGCTACAGTTGAACCATTCCATTCTGGTCTTTGCATTAGGGATAACGACTTTGTCTGCTTTGCATCATCCTTAGTGACAGCTTTCGTGTGTCCGCCTCCAGCAACACCTCCAGGCATTCAGAAATCCAGTTCCAAACTTAGATCAGTCTACTAGCTAACACCTTCAATGTTCACTCTTTGAAGAAAGCAGGATAAACTGCTGCAATTCCTACGCTGGATTAGTAACTGTTTTCTATCAGACTTAAGACCCAAGTACACAAGTTCAGTGAGTGAGTTCACTTAACGGCGCCCACTTCGTCCAGCCTTGTATTAACTGGAGATGACCCAGAGGCGATCGCTCCGTGGTTTGGCAACGAAGCGTAGAAGCCCTTAGTGGTAAGCTCATTCGTGTTGGCAAATGCCTTCCCCTTGGATGGACAACCCTTAGATGAGACAGATTAATGGTTAGTTAGATATGGTTGTATCGCTCAGCCTATGGCAGCCTGGCATCAAAGCTACGGTCCTCATTCTGTAGCTGTCAACTCCTACCATGCCAGACAAACAGAACCACCTGAAGTCACTGCACTGACTGGTCCATCGCTTCCAACTTGTGGCTCGTGCTTCCTTATTCTCCTTTTCTTCGATGAACGAAACAGTGGAAGGTGAACCCACTGGAATTCTGTACCCGGTTTTTTAATGTTACATCTACTGCTGTTCCAGCTCTTGTGCCTAGTGCCGAGAAAAACTCGCCAATAAGGAATACAACAGCTTCATCGTGAACAAGCGGGTGCGAGAGTGTGGGTGCGAAAATGCAACGGTCTTAAGCTATTTTATTGGAGCTACAGTGCCTGATCTTGGTTCAACGCTGTATCGCGCTGTATGGCTTTGATACAAGGCTTTGACGTGCTGCTTATTGAGGGGGCGTTGTCTGTCTGGTCAGCATCTAGTGGAGCTGGGGGTCTCAGTAGATTTCGAGCATTCAATGGTTACTTTCAGCAATCTGATTTCCTGATACTTAGTTGCAACCACCCGTTCCGCGTTGCCATTGCATGAACTGTCTTGTGAACCTTTTAGCAGCACAGCTTTAGAGTGAAAAACCGCTGGTAGTTGGACATGCAGAGTACTTGCTTCAACTGTCCAGGCATGATAAGTTTTATACGTTACCCTTCTTCATCACTTGCTTGCAAACTTTGGTTGCGCCTACGCTGCGGCCCTCTTAGTTCAGTTTAGTTTGACGACCATGAACAGTGCATGCATTAGTGGTTGTTCGTGTAGCGACTTATGTGAACGCTAATGTAAGATGGAGGTAGTCACAGAGAAAAAACGTAGTGGGTTAATGAATGCGAATAAAAGAATAATCACAACAGCTCTAGGACATCACTTTGTTAGCGAGTGTCCCCAACCGTTAACGTGGTAGGCCTCTGCTTCCCCAACCTTACAGGCGACATACACTAATACCGTTAACGCTCACTTTTATTCTCTTCACGCTTTGTTTCTAGGTCACACTCTCTTCCGACCAGGAATTGCTTCAAACAGGTCATGACGAGGCAGTTGATAACTCACCATACGCAACAGATGATCGAGCAGTGAAGTTGACTTAATCGCACTTCAACACTTCTAATCCGGTGTTCCAGTGACACATGAGCTATGGTTCAAAGGCCTGGGTGTCACCCGCAGGCAGTTTTTTGACCAGACTTCACAGTTGTAAGGCAACACAGCGCACTGCTGACCCAACCTGTAATCAGTCAAATAACTAGTGGTGGCTCGCGTCAATTAACTGTTGAACAGTTGGGATTTGATCTGTTCACCAAGCTGAGCGAACATCCAGCTTTAACTATAGTCGGTTGATGCTTCGAATTGGTTATGGTTGCATCTGGTGGGGATTTGTCGCCGGACCTCTAGCAAAGCCATGTTCCTATCAGAGACCCAATGCTTAAATGAGGTTGTCTGGGGAAAATTTGTGGTGTTGCTTAAGGCTTCAGATGTTTCTCTTCTGCAGTCGTTACCATTGGATGAACAGGTGATCGCTGCAGGTCGCCACTAGGTTGCGCGATGCAAGCGCTTATGTTGAAGGTTGATACTGGCCAAAAACAGTTGCTGGTCAGCCCACAATCGGGGGAGTCGCTCTCCGTTGTCTTTGCGACCAGCATGGACTCCTAATCGACTGCCCAAATGTGATTCCAAGAAGTTTAGGCGACTGATTTGGGAATTCAATTTGCCTGCAAAGATCACAATGTCGGTGCGTCTTGATTGATGGATAAGCCCGGGTAACTCTCGATAGAAGTATCATTCTCAGCGTCAGAACTGCAGTCGGTTGGAGCATAAGTGGACACTACGACCAGGCACCGCTTTTCATGCGGAGAGACCTTCAGCTTGATTGAGCTGGATAACCGGACTGCGCAAAGACGACAGTTCACTGGGATACAGTCCAGCAAATCGCGTTCAACTCAGAGGCTGGGTGCAACTCCCACACCGTATTCTACGAGTCGTCGCTTTTGGATCGCCGGGCACATGAGTAGGGGGGGGGGAGAAATGTGAAAGATCTGAGTTCGCCTTTGGGTTTCTGAGATACATAACCACGCTTGGGTTTTGTATGCGTCTTTCTGAGACACAGCACACATCAATTTTAAGGGAGTATAATGTTTGAGCAAGCATTACCTGTTTGCCAATTTGACATAGAGTACGGAAGTTAAAAGTTCCAATGTAGAAAGGATCTCACGGATTTAGAAAGGTGTTATTTTTTATTGTTAATGGGCAGCGGGGAGCATAAGCCCTTCCGGTCAGATAACGACAGTCAAATGGCTCAGTGACGTTCGCTTGTGCGGCGGGAAGGGGTTGGGGAGGGACATTTGTAGACACAGAACTGCGCGGGTAAATGATACTTCCCGGTTGCCCAAGCCGAGAAGGGGGGTTTAGTTGAGGTACCCCACCTGGAACATCTGACTCAAAAGTCTGACTCACGAGGCTTCGGATAGTAGAATTTTCTTGGTGGACCCTGCCTGGAGCGGATGAGTCAGTAGTCTGACCCACTTGGCTGCAGGGTCCGGCCTGGCCCGAGGGCAGAAGGAGTAAGGCATTAATATCTCATTCCTGATGCGACTGTGCACAGCAGGTACTTTTTTGAGAAGCACCAGACCGTTTGGTTTCAAGAGAATTTTGACCGTACTGAATAATTCTCCGGCGGTTATGATCAACCATTGGACGACCAGGGTGTGCGGTTTTCGGGACCGACCTTTCCTAACCCGTCCTTCCTCGGCGGAAGGCAGCATCGCTGCTTCCATAAATATAGGCATGCTGGTTGCCTGGAGAGAACGCCTTACTGCCTTCACACTCATCGAAGAGGACAGTATGACTTTACCCTCAGACCGATTGGGTAGGTTGACAGAGGGACTACTTGAGTGTTCAAGGAAAGAGGCGTTAGCATGCTTCCATTGTCCGACCTGCTGTATGCAGCAAGGAAGGCGACCCGGCTCATTGCACCATGCGGCGGCCGATGTGTCACTCTTTTCAGAATGGATTGACAAGAGAGTGCATAGGTCGCTTTGTTATGGTTGTTAACCACGGTATAGGTGTGCGTAACTAGATGTGCTCTGGTTCTGTTGCCATGGTAAGGCGATTTGCTTCACATAACCATCCGAAAACATCAACGTGGGTCGATACTGTTACCTTGATTTATGAAACGGGGCAAGACGTCATTTTGAATGATCAGTTTAAAGGATGTTTTGTGCATATAAATTCTTCATTTTCTGTGGGCAATAACGGCGATTACGGTAAAACCCTGATTCTGTAGCCTCCGGCGGAGGCGATGGGTCCCTTTAAGCTTCAGCAAGTGTTTCATCAATGTTTTTTCACCCACATGGGACGTAGTGATGGAAACAGCAACTTCATATTCGAAACGGTTTGATTTCTCTATCAGTTTACCTCCAAACGGGCTCACAAGGTCCTGATAGTGTATCAAACATCTCTGCGCACCAGCATGAGCATTGATACGACCCTTCCGTTTGTCGTCCACAGAGTGAGTACTTTGTCTTTCAGCATGAGGGAGTTCTGTAGTGCCATAGCGCCAGGTGACTTCACAAGTGACCACAAATCATAGTTCTACTATATCGTGTGTCGCGGATATGATGACTGATTGATCTCAGCAAGATAGATGCCTTTTAGAAATAACATGGCTTGTGGAAGTGGCTTGTGAAAGTGCTCTTCCAGAATGGCCACAATGTGATTAGCCCTAGATTCTGAGTCTGATTTGTTCGAGAGGTCTTTGTCTTGTTCAGAATCGTGTGTGCAGTTTTTTCGACCTTACGCCAGCACATATTGAAACAGTATCAGTTCCGAGGCGATGTGCTTCACTTTGCTCCACGGCATATTCCTTTCTGGTTTTAGTCATATTTGGCTCTTGAATGGATACCTCCCCTGTCCCAACCATATTTTCAAACATTCATGCTAGATCACAACTCACACGACTGTTAGGCGCGCCACCAGTATTGTTGGTTCGCCCCCTTACCGTATAGTGAAATTCGCGGAAGGCTAAAATATGTAGAAATCTGGGAGAACTTGGTAAAACTCCTTCACAGAAGCCAGGTGGTAGTCATTGTTTGCTCTGTTTCGCTTTCCCTGTTGTAATTCTGTTCAGTAGTCCTACACTGTATAGAAATGCCTGATCACTAGCAGTATTTTCTGTCCATGACGATGACGGTGTTTATTTTCTTCATGGGTAAGAAGACAGTCGCATGCCGTTGTCGGTAAACTTCACTTGTCCGCCCTTTGGGGACATATCAATTAGTACGTTTTATACTACTGGTCCGCCCTCAATCTAAATCCAAGTGGCCCAAGTGGTTAGAGCGCGAATTTACTGATCGAAAGGTCCGTGGTTCGAATCCGACCTCCGCCACTCGACTTCCCATGTCTAGGCTTGAGCAACCTGGCAGTATCCCAGCCTTCGTGCTTCCTTCGGTTGGCATGGCAGCTAGGTACCGGAAGGGTGCTACAGCTGAACGCCTAAACCCATCTTCATTTTCAAACGGATCAGACAACATCCATTCGTTAGTGGTCCTTTCCCTAATTTTCAGAAACACGTGGATGTTAACAAGAGACTCAACTGGATCCCTAATTTATTCTGTGCTTCACCTGAATGTACTGCGCAAACCCCGTTTTCCCGTTGACGCGGTATTTGAAATATCGTACCATATTCTCGACATAACGCACTTTTCACAAATTCGCTGAAAATCCTTCGACCATGCGTTGGGTCCCATTCAATTCTGACAGCAATAATCCAGATCCGTCTTATCGTCTGAGGTGGTGACGTCATCTTTTAGGATTGTACGGGAATCAGCGTGCACTCGTTATTGCTGCTTTGCCAGTACAACCAGCCGTCGATTATATGACGTAGACAGACGCAAGTCTGTGGCAATGCCCTCGAACGTCGTTCTTGAATGCCTAAGATAGACAGCTAGCGCGACATTGACGGTCTAACGGCCTGAGTGGTACCATGCTCCCGAGATCTTTGTTCCTCAGACCCAACCACACTAGGAATGCGGAAAATTAACGGCCGCGTAAGTATGAACGGTCCCTCTCATTGTGGTTCAGCTATAGTGCTCTTTCGGTGGCCTGCTTCCATGCCACCCGAAGGGAGCATGATGGCCGAGCCACTCCCAAGTTGCCCAACTTAGACAGGAGGAGTCGAGATGCAGAGGTCGGGTTTGAACCACAGACTTTCAGATCGCGCCTCTACCGCCGAGCGATCTCTAGCTCGATACACCTACTGAAAGTGTAACATGAAGTGGCCTGGAGGTAGAACCGTACTGTACCCTGCGCTGAGATTGTGAAGACGGTATACTTACGCCTCCGGGTGGCCAGCCTCTCTACACACTACTTCTCGTCATGGAAGGAAAAGGTGAACCTTGAAAGTTGACAGTGAACTATTCACGGCTAACCTTGATCGTTTGAGGATAGTTTCCATTTGTCGAATAACAATGAATAGCCGTTAAGAACCCAATGCGATCGTAAACATTTAAATTAAACAACAAAGTAGGGGTCAAATTCTCACCGCGCCCTTGAGCTAGGCCAGTTTGTCATTGAACAGCGAATATCTGAAAGTTGCTTTTAACTTTATTTATGACCGAAAACTGTGGTCACGTCTACTTGTCAAAGGAGTTCCGGCTGAATTCTCGTCGATTTAGGACCCTGCACATCCACGCCTGTGTATGCTTTCGGGTCGGATCACACTATTTCCTTTAGGTCAGACGGCGCTCACCTTTCAGTTTTTTCAGTTCTCTTACTGATAGGCTGCTTGAAACTACTTTTCCTATCTCTGCTAAAGAGGTGAAAAGTACTCGCATCGTTTGCGTTTAGACGTTAAATACGAGAACGGTAATGCTTATCCTGGATAGGATCCTTCAGGAAAGCAAAACGTTTTCAGCAACCTAAATCTACTTCCCACCTGGAAAGTATAGAGTTTCAGTGCAAGACTGAGATGGGGCCTAACCCATGCCGGGCAAACCGAGCTTTCAGACCACCCAATCGACATGGTAAATAAGATACTTCTTACATGGGAAGTTGTGTAAGTCTGGTGGACTTGTGGATGTGAATCGTTACCCGGATGGGTAAGACCAAGGAGGCTTTTACCAAACTCCCACACTTATGCCCCCGAAGTGAAGTCAGTTTGTGTGTCATTGGCACTGTGACATTATGATCCATGCTTATTGATTGGTCAGTGACATGGCCTCTTTGTGCAAAAGACACGTTGGTATCCTTCATATTCTGCTATCGTCGTTCTACAGGTTTGACCTTTACATAAGGTCAGTAGTCCTTAGACGAAGAAACTACCAGAATAGACGAAATAAGTACACCATACAGGTTAGCTAGGTCAGAGACCGTTTACCTCACTTAATTCTTCCTACCAATCTCGACAGAAAGCTGGACAGTTTTTGACCCATTTAGAAGCCCTTACCAGTAAACTCGAGCAGTTCGACAGCTGGATGAGTACCCCATAATGCAACACATCAATAGTTAATGACACTGACAGACGCGGTCCAGTTCAGTGGTCTTTAGGGCTCCTGATTAAAGCTGCGGCCTTCAGTACGTAATCGACCCGCTTCTCGTTTCATGGTCCTATGTAGGACTATAGTCCGCGTTATCCCAATAATCGGTGAACGAAACTGTCATCAGATACACGGTTTAAAGCCGAATTACAGTAGTTAAGTAGCTAAATGCACTTCGACCGCTGTCTTTGAGTTTCCTTCCATTGTAGCCCTCTATGTTACAGCCATAGAACGAACTGCGCAATCTTGAATCTGTAAGATCAAGGTTTTCGCTCTTTTCAGCTTACCAGAACACAAAGACTGCACTTAAGTAATCAAATATAGACGACGACAAATTTTCCTCGCCTGTGCAACTGAATTTTAGCGACGGATTCCTACGGCATATACATTGGTCCTTATTCTAGAGAGCACCAATTTATTTTCTGGTTATTAGTTAGGACGCTGAAGCGAACGTTTGTGGTGCTTTCCATGTTTTTAGAGTGCCAGTTGTTGCAGGAACCACAACACAATAAATGTAGCCTGTCTCATATTACTACGCAAAACATATTGACTCCGCTGCACGTGTTTTACACAATTGGGTGCGTCGCCCCATCAAGGTAGGCTTAGCCACTTTTGCTGCAAAAGACCTCAAAGTTTAACCGTTTCTCTGAGACGGATGTGCAAAGCCTTCAAACTTGTTCCATATATGGGGGAGTACGCTAGATCTTTTATTGACCTAGGTATCAGTGTTTACGGCAAGTAGTCATCTGTTACCGCGTGGTGTTAACAACGAATTGATGTCCATGTGACCTAGCTTTTCTAATTGTTGGTGGTGATGGAGTTTTAAGCTGCCTCAAAGTAGACTTCTTTATACATTGAGGTCACACGAGGTTAACTTTGGTAGCTAATGGCTTACCAAAATTGTGTCTGAAAAGGGTACATCACAGAAGAGGAAGCCATGTTCCCCTTGTGTCTTTACGTCTCGTTTTCTATCCTGAAGTTCTTCTTTGTCGGCACTTCTGGTCGCTTTTTGGTAACTTAATGGGGACATTTTTGCCGTTTTCACGAGTTTTAACAGAGATCACACTGGATATGTCAAGTAGCTGCAACGATGTTCATTCTAATTTTAGGCGAAAAGCCAACCTTTGTCACACTGGTTGCAATCTAGGCTATACAAAGTGCCGTATCGGGCCTCATTTTGTTTGACCAAGCGATTGACAACTTCCAATCCAGAGTGTCTTCAAAGGCGACTGTCGGAAAGAAATTGGTTTCTAACTTATTTTACTATACGGTTATAGTCCTAATGTGAGTCTTCTGAGTTAACTGTTGACGAAAGTTTATTCAAATTGACCTCCTCATATAGGGCGGATGATGCTTTCCAATGTGATAACTTTTTGGTCGGTCAGGTTGTCTGTTCGCTTCTAAATAACGCCGAAGTATATAGAGGATCGTTGTTTGTGTACATATTATCATGGACGTCTTGCGGGGACGCTCCTGCTCCCAGCTCTTAAAACACCATGTATGCTTCTTTAGGCATCACGCAGCGTGAAATTTGGTCATAATAGACTTAGTAGTTCACTTAGTGCGCACGAATCCAGGTGTGTCTTCCTATGCCGTCTGAGTGCTTTACGGTCTCCGGCCAACATTTTCACCATACTTGTGGTTGTTTTCGTGGGCCAACAGAAACCCGGGGTCACATGAGGGTACGATGGTAACCAAGTACCAAGTTGCCCCGGCTACTTTTAATCAGAAAATCGCAATAGAATAACAACAATCGTCATTGACTGATATGTTTTCTTTGGATGGTTGTTTATTCTTGCTGTGCTAGTGCCCAGTCAGCTTCGGTCGTTTGAAAGCATGTTATGGTTTTTCATACCATCGCTTAAGAACTACCAACGCGGGACCTAACAGATTTGGCGAACGTCGTATCTCATTCAAACTACTTTATTTTTTAAGTAGTGAGAGAAACCTTTCATTCATTCATTCATTTTCACCTTCAGGGACGCTGTGAAAGCCTGTTGCACATCAATGATCGCCTGATGATGCTGAACCTCTCCCCCTATATCCCTTCTGAAGCTGATACGGTATTGACGCTGTCTGCCACGTATTATCACACGGATTCATAAAACCAAGCAAAAATATCTCAGATCACCTCATCTGATTTTGTTACTTGATGCTGTGTAGTTTTTTGGAACATTTTTCAACAGCTAATATGTTTTTTATTTTTCACATGGATCTGGTGTGGACCAAGACTGTAACACTTTAACCTGTTTTCAGTCATGAGTCAGCAAGAATAAACCTGTTCACATCCTGTTCTTTCCCAAAGAACTGTTTTGCTGTGGTAGCCTTTCAGCATAGAGCCTCTACGTTATTCGAAGGAAGTATGAAGACCGAAACATTACTGTTACCAAACATAGGCAGGGACAACCTGAAAGCCAAGTTTAGCTCGAACCGTAAATCTCTCGGTTGGTTGCTCACACATTCACCTACAATCCTGCGTATTATGACGGAGACAGCGGGCCGCTTTCTGGCTGCGCGGAAGGCATTTAACTAGGCACATTTTAGGTTTGGACAGATGGATTTAAACTTCGGAGAATATAAGAATTTGGAAAAACAGGAAGTTGAAAATGATACCAAAATGCGAGAATAAGTTTTTGGGCAGTAGGGGACTGGGACTTGATCTGGGTGATTCGAGAAGTATGGGTCTGTCTTCCAAATACGCTGTTGTGGGAGTGGGATCGAGTGAGCGAGTTTATTTTGGCGGACTAGTGTAAGGAGGACTGCATCTTGGCGGTGCTAGACTGTTTGCAGAATGTCCGTCAAGGAATTGGAATCAATGATCCACGTGGCTGTTTAGGCGTGAAGGGTATGTAGGGGAAGTGCCTCTCAAAATTTGACATCTGTGTTCTATCGTGTGGTAGATCTGTGACTCGTATAACAGGAGTTGTTAGGGGACTATTTGCAAAAACAAAAGGAGGTAGGGGTCGCAATCAGTTTCACATATAGAAACCAAACGGGGTGTTTCAGAAACGATAAACTGGAGGTCGAGCTGTTGGTGATTTCGGAGTAGGCTTGAGGTCAGTCAAAGTGGATGTTTTATGCAGTAAATCCGGAGAGGAATTAAGCGTGGATTTGGTAGGACTTAATGCGGCTTTCGACGACATTCAGACATGGGTGTTCAATGGGCGTTCAGCATAACCAGTTCATGAATGGGACCGATTATCCTGGATGTGGGTTATTCCAGAATACGTGTGGTAGATGTGTAGGTCTGCATCGTCCGCAAAATCTTAAAAAGAGGCGAAGATGGTTGCTAGGCAATAGGAAAGAGGTAGGTATGAGGGATGAGCACAAAGCGGAAGTGGTCGACCCTGGAAAAGCAATCCAGACGTTTCTTTTTATTTGGGACTCACCAGGTTGACGTAGAAGGATTGAACTCTGCCGTCCAAATTTAGAGCTAACACACTGAATCCAAATTCAAGCAGTTGACATAGCCTATATGAATTCAAGAGGTTTCTGTTTGGTATAATAAATGCACGAACTTCGTGAAAAAATCTGGCTGCCAGAACGGTCAATGTCTTCTTTGTCTTCAACGAAGATCTGATGATTACGAAGCCATGGGCTTGGAGTCGTTACAAGTGACAATTACGGACAACTCCAACCCGCCTGAATTCATGTGAACGGTCTGGATGAGGTCTGGATGAGACCGAAGCTTACAAAAGCTGTCTGCTGAGTCTCAGGGTGAGAAATGTGGTCGGTCGCTTTTCTAGGACTGGCCACGCTTGAGAATTCGAATGCCGTAACTTGGTGTAAATGATATGGGGACGGCCAAACTATTGGGGTTGATTCTGCCCATTCACTAGTAGTCAGATTCCTAACAAATTTTGGTGAGCGTGCTAAACGAAACAAGAATCACTCAAGAGGATAGTACCTTGGGCGACGCCTGCGTTGGTCTTGTGAATCCGCGCGAGGGGAACATTTGGGACTGCCTTATTGAGGTGGTTTGTGAAGGAAGTCTTCAATACGGTTCACCACTTCATACTATAATGCCAACGTCGACAGTTTGGCTATCAGTTCGTTGTGCCATGTTGTAATCACGATTGGCTCCGGAATCCTGGACGGAAAAGGGGCGATGGAGACTCCACCGTTGTTGTTAGAATCGGCTAGAGAGCCCTGTTTACACTATGGAGAACTTGAGAGTCTTTTCAATCAGATGGAGTCAGCAATAAAATAAAGTGAAACGAACGGGCAGTGATTAAAGCGGATTTTGGAGCACAGATATAAGAGATAACAATCGAACTAGGAGGCTTAGTGATTTATAGCCACAGAAGGCATTGACTAATATGCCCAATTGAAATGATAGGGGATCTGAAATAGTTTGAAACTGTCGGATGGATCGGGGTGGAATTTGAGGGAAAATGATAGAACGTGAATCGAACTGGCAGCTACATTGGAGTTGGGAGTAGGAAAACAGATTGGAGATATGTGTATTGGACAGCCTTGGGGTGACGGTAGTGCGGAAATCGTGCGGAATAGCATAGCTCGAAAGAACGGAAGCAGATGTCTGGTGAACCCAGTGTCCTTACATTCGGGTTTCTAACACCTATTTGAATGACCATTCCAGTGATGAACAACAAAACGCCTTGGTCCAAAAAGTTGAGCGTTCCACCGACGACTGTTTGAATGAATTGCACAAGAAAGTTTTAAAGACAGCGGTACACCACCGTATTTCCCCATTTGAGTCCACAACAGCACGGATGTATAGACTAAAAAACAGACCATCTGTACATTTAGTCACATTTTGATCATTTATGGCTCCCCCTATCGTAAACTCGTTCACTGACCAGTCAGAATCATAGGATCTATGAGATATTAGGAGTTATGTTCAGCCCCCCTCCCGTGGCGTTTGAATTTGTGGAGTGTATACGGGAAAGCAATGTGAAAAACGAGGCAATGTCCTCGTTTGCTGTCGTATCTTTATATAGTAAAGTTCCCGTCAATGAAATAATTGCCATCACTTTTTTATTTTGTCAAGTTTATGCAGTATCTCATTCGCAAGCACGAGATTAGGGTTCGAACCAACTCAGTTCTGTGGGACCACTCGACAATTTTGTGGGTGTAAATCGCATGTCAAACCGTGAGTCAGAACTATTTAGTTTATTGAATATCGTTTGCATTACGGTGGTGTCAGATCCAAGAAAAGCTACATCGTCTATGGGTGAAGGGAGCAGTTCCATCCCACAGACATTCAAAGCTAGGACTGAGTCCTCCATGATGATATCAGTGGCGAAGCTGGAAAGAAAAGATGAAAGAGCACGTTCTTGTCTGGGACCACCTGAAGTAGTTCACTCAGATAAAAGGTTCCCTAAACCTTCAATCGTCCTTGGGATTACGGGAACATGGCCCTGGGGAGAGTCATTAATTTGTGGGAGCAGATAGTGCCAAGTGCCTGGAGGTCCACAGAGTCATAGGAAGCTTTCAAGTCAAGCAAGACCACCACTGTAGTTTGATGGAAGCGATTTTGTTGCTCCATGGTGTGTCCGAGGGTGAAAATGTAGCTAGTGGATCCTCTTTCGGGATGAAACCAACTTGTTTTTCACGGATCTGCCTCTCTGTGTTCAGCCTACCTTCGAAGGACCAGAGAGCACTCCGGTGCCAGGCTGATGCCACGATGTTTTTCGGACACATTTAAACTGTTTTGGACTACTGAAAATGTGTGCAGCATTTTGCTCTCAAGAATAAACAGTTGATTCATTGTGGGGCAAACATTGTCAACTGCGCGCACTCATCCTGAAGATGGACCCGGCCATCTAATTGGACAAATACGGAACATGTCTAGCAACTATACTCCAGAGAAAACACGTCCAGCGTCCGGAACTTTACTCAGAAAATCTCAACAGCTGTCCTCAAACGATAAGTCACTTTTTGGCTCATTCCCTTCTTTCACTGTATTTATGTTCATAAGGTGCGCCTGACTTTGTAATCCATTTAACCGTAATACTCAAACCTTATTAGTGTGTCTCGCTTCTGATATTCGAGCTCAACTTCTACTTACTAGAGCACTAATATGCACTCCATTCAAACTAGATGGCAGGAAAGTCTAGAATCAGTAATCCACATTTCGTAAAGATTTAAAGCGCGGTCTGATAAACAGCTAACTCCCAAGAACATTCGAAAGCGAGTGGCCAGGAACATTAACATACGTCCAAGCGGATGCAATGGACACAACTGGACGAAAGCGGGAATGTAGATGACTTTGGTGTGATGAGAATGAGCCGTAGATATCCAAAATTATTCAACGGAAGGATCTGAAATTCAATAAATAGTCCAGGAAGCGAGAAACTCGGGTACCCGAAATACCAAGCTGATGGAACGCACAAATAGGGGGAATACCTGACCAACGCAATGCACATCTGGTCAGGAGATTTACTTGGCTAATTTGCCTACAGCCGCAGGACTGCTGAGGATGGCACAACTGGGGTAGCAGCGAGATTGAACGGGGTTGTTTGCGGAACTGCTCGTCCGTGAAGCGATTGTCACGCGCATTCTGCCGAACCGGGGGACCCGGAAATGCAGTGTGAAATTCGAAGTGATCGAAATGCGATTGAAAGAAGGCACTCCTTCTGTGGACTCTTTGTAGACTTCACTAAAGCCATCGAATCAGTCACCAAGGGAACCTTGTGCAGCGTCTTGCGAAAGCCTAGCTGTTTAAATGAGTTTTTCACCTCAATGCCTTTTACGCGGTGTTAAAAGCCCAGATACTGATCATGTGACTAACTATCCTCACCAAATTCGAAATCGATACGAGTGGGAGGTAGGGTTGTGCAAAGCTCTAACCCTGTTCAACCTCTATTTCCTAGCCGTTTACGCAGAGGCGTCCCATCATTACCAGGGTGATCAGCATCATCATCATCAATTATGGCAAGATCAGGGAAGAACAGTGCTGCTTCACCGCTACGCGGGTTCAGTTACAGTCTACCACTGCTAGCGAGCAATTGCGCTTTAGTTTGTGATGAAGGTAAGATAGCATCTCACTTTAGCTTCAATGCAAATATTTTCATCAGCCTGAATTGTCGACCTGATATAACACACCAACTTTTCACCCAAATGGTTGAGATAACGCGCCGTACAGATTTATGCTATTTTGGAAGTACACTGTCCATATAGCTGACACGTGGTCGTGGAATAGATGTAGAAGTTGCAAAGGCAAACGATGCATTCGAACATCCTGAAAGACGTGTCTACAGCAATAACCACATGGATATAAACACTACATTCATTACAGTACGGCAGCGAGGCTTGGACACTGTACAGTTAGTAGGT